GCTGTTTAGGGTTTTTGTTGGCGGGTTTTGAGGGTTCTTGTTGCTATAGAGTATGAACTTCGGCAAAAGTACCTTACGGAAGGCCTAGATATGTACTATGTAGGTGCATGACCACATATGGAGATCAACAGGCTTCTCATCCTCAGGGGGTATGTATGTATGTATGTATGTATTTATGTATGTATGTGCGTGTGCAAATTTGTATGTATGTACGTACGCACGTAGGTAGGCACGTATGTACATGTATACGTATGTACGTATGTATGCATGCATGGATGCATGTGTGTAGGTATATATATATATGTATGTATGTATGTATGTGTATCGACATACATGTGCGTTTGTGTACATACATATGTCTGCATATAGGCTTTTCATACATATGAACATATAAAAATGTAGGTGTATACACCCACGCACGCAAATTAACTAATCCCCTCCCCCTTTTATTAAAGGACCCCCTAATTATAAAAACACTTTTCCCCCGATCCACCCGGAAGTAGCACCGCCCTTTAAACCCTAATTTGAATTAGGGGGAAGGTTTAGGGTCTATAGATTGAGGGTTTAGGGGGAAGAATTATAATTGCATGACTCAGCAACTGCTCAATTGAGCCGCATGAAAAGCTTTATTAGCCAAGCCTTTATTGAAGCCTATTTTTTTAATGCGTATTTACGGATTTAGTGTGTATTTGCACGGATTTGTGTGTTTGCACGGATTTAGTGTGTATTTGCACGGATTCAGTGTGTATTTGCACGGATTTAGTATGTATTTGCACGGATTCACGGATTTAGATGTATTTGCACGGATTCCGTGTGTATTTGCACGGATTTGGTGTGTATTTGCACTCACGTCCTGTGTAGTTGCACGAATTTAGTGTGTATTTGCATGGATTTGCACGGATCGTGAGTATTTGCACGCAGTATTTGGTGTCTAATTACAGGGATGTAGTGTGTGTATTTGCACAGATTCCGTGTGTATTTGCACGCATTTACTGTGTGCCTGGTGTGTAGTTAGAGGGATTTAGTGTGTGTGTCTTTACACGGATTTAGTGTGTGTTTGCATGGATTCGGCGTGTATTTGCACGGATTCAGTGTGTATTTGCATGGATTTGGTGTGTATTTGCACGCATTTCGTGTGTATTAGCACGAACTTGGTGTGCATGTGCACGAACTTCGTATGTCTTTGCACGGTTTAATGTGCATTTGCACGGATTTGGTGTGATTTGCAACCCTTATAATAGCGTTTCTTAAGTCTCCAGAGAGCCCAGAGCTTCAGGTCACCCCAAAATCTCGATTCCGGGTGGGGAAAGGGCCCAAATGACACCCCCGGGGATTGAGCCCGCAGCCTTTGCGAGGAGGGCTTTGGAGGCAGACGTTTACCCATTAGGCCATGGCCAGATAGTTCTGGGGGCTGGCGGCTGCCTCCCTAGGGGATTTGGGCACGGTCGCAGGCCCAATTCTGGCGGTGTCCCCGTGGGCCCTTTCCCCATCCAGAATCGAAATTTGAAATGACCAAAAACCGCCAAGAGCACAACCAAAACCGCCGAAAACCGCGCAAACCCACCAAAACCCTCCCCGGTGCAAGTTCCCAACATCAACAGCAGGTTGCAGAGGTTGAACCAGCAGGTTGCAGAGGTTGAACCAGCAGGTTGCAGAGGTTGAACCAGCAGGTTGCAGAGGTCGAAGCTGCAGGTTGCAGAGGTTGAAGCAACAGGTTGCAGAGGTTGAACCAGCAGGTTGCAGAGAGGTTGAACCAGCAGGTTGCAGAGGTTGAACCAGCAGGTTGCAGAGATTGAAGCAGCAGGTTGCAGAGGTTGAAGCAGCAGGTTGCAGAGGTTGAACCACAGCAGGTTGCAGAGGTTGAACCAGCAGGTTGCAGAGGTTGAACCAGCAGGTTGCAGAGGCAGAGGTTGAACCAGCAGGTTGCAGAGGTTGAAGCAGCAGGTTGCAGAGGTTGAAGCAGTAGGTTGCACAGGTTGAACCAGCAGGTTGCACAGGTTGAACCAGCAGGTTGCAGAGGTTGAACCAGCAGGTTGCAGAGGTTGAACCTGCAGGTTGCAGAGGTTGAACCAGCAGGTTGCAGAGGTTGAAGCAGCAGGTTGCAGAGGTTGAGCCAGCAGGTTGCAGAGGTTGAACCAGCAGGTTGCAGAGGTTGAAGCAGCAGGTTGCAGAGGTTGAAGCAGCAGGTTGCAGAGGTTGAACCACAGCAGGTTGCACAGGTTGAACCAGCAGGTTGCAGAGGTTGAACCAGCAGGTTGCAGAGGCAGAGGTTGAAGCAGCAGGTTGCACAGGTTGAACCTGCAGGTTGCAGAGGTTGAACCTGCAGGTTGCAGAGGTTGAAGCAGCAGGTTGCAGAGGTTGAACCTGCAGGTTGCAGAGGTTGAAGCTGCAGGTTGCAGAGGTTGAAGCAGCAGGTTGCACAGGTTGAACCAGCAGGTTGCACAGGTTGAACCAGCAGGTTGCAGAGGTTGAACCAGCAGGTTGCAGAGGTTGAACCTGCAGGTTGCAGAGGTTGAACCTGCATGTTCCAGAGGTTTGGTGGGCTTGCGCGGTTTTGGGCGGGTGTGGTTGTGCTCTCTTGGCGCTTTTGGTCATTTCAACATTTCGATTCTGGATGGGGAAGGGCCCAAAATGACACCGCAAGAATTGGGCCTGCGACCTCTCCCAAAACTACTATCAAGGTGCGCAACCTTTCGCAAAACTATCTGGCAATGGCCTAATGGATAAGTGTCTGGCTCTAAAGCCTTCTTGGCAAAATTCGTGGGCTCAATCCCCGGGGGCGTCATTTAGGCCCTTTCCCCACCCGGAATCGAGATTTTGGGGTGGCCTGAAGCTTTGGGCTCTCCGGGGACTCTCTAGAGCGGACTGGGTGCACATCCGGCTTTCGTGGGGCAGGTTGCAGAGGTTGAACCAGCAGGTTGCAGAGGTTGAACCAGCAGGTTGCAGAGGTTGAAGCAGCAGGTTGCAGAGGTTGAAGCAGCAGGTTGCACAGGTTGAACCAGCAGGTTGCACCAGCAGGTTGCAGAGGTTGAAGCAGCAGGTTGCAGAGGTTGAAGCAGCAGGTTGCAGAGGTTGAACCACAGCAGGTTGCACAGGTTGAACCAGCAGGTTGCAGAGGTTGAACCAGCAGGTTGCAGAGGCAGAGGTTGAAGCAGCAGGTTGCACAGGTTGAACCTGCAGATTGCAGAGGTTGAACCTGCAGGTTGCAGGGTTGAACCAGCAGGTTGCAGAGGTTGAACCACAGCAAGTTGCAGAGGTTTAACCAGCAGGTTGCAGAGGTTGAACCAGCAATTTGCAGAGGTTGAACCAGCAGGTTGAACCTGCAGGTTGCAGAGGTTGAAGCAGCAGGTTGCAGAGGTTGAACCAGCAGGTTGCAGAGGTTGAACCTGCAGGTTGCAGAGGTTGAACTGCAGGTTGCAGAGGTTGAAGCAGCAGGTTGCAGAGGTTGAAGTTGCACAGGTTGAAGCAGCATGAAGCAGCAGGTTGCAGAGGTTGAACCAGCAGGTTGCACAGGTTGAACCAGCAGGTTGCACAGGTTGAACCTGCAGGTTGCAGAGGTTGAAGCAGCAGGTTGCAGAGGTTGAACCTGCAGGTTGCAGAGGTTGAAGCTGCAGGTTGCAGAGGTTGAAGCAGCAGGTTGCAGAGGTTGATCCACAGCAAGTTGCAGAGGTTTAACCAGCAGGTTGCAGAGGTTGAACCAGCAATTTGCAGAGGTTGAACCAGCAGGTTGAACCTGCAGGTTGCAGAGGCAGCAGGTTGCAGAGGTTGAACCAGCAGGTTGCACAGGTTGAACCAGCAGGTTGCACAGGTTGAACCAGCAGGTTGCAGAGGTTGAACCAGCAGGTTGCAGAGGTTGAAGCAGCAGGTTGCAGAGGTTGAACCAGCAGGTTGCAGAGGCTGAACCAGCAGGTTGCAGAGGTTGAAGCAGCAGGTTGCAGAGGTTGAGCAGCAGGTTGCAGAGGTTGCAGAGGTTGAACCTGCAGGTTGCAGAGGTTGAAGCAGCAGGTTGCAGAGGTTGAACCTGCAGGTTGCCACATGTGCTCTTCTGCACTTGTGCAACCATGAAGCATTGCTATCATCAACAACAACATCATCATCATGTTCTTCATCATCATCATGTTCTTCTCCTGGACCATGATCATCGTCATCATTACCATCACCACCACTACCGCCATCTTCATCATAACAAGCATCACCGTAATCGTCATCATCATTTTCATCGTCATCATTTTCATCATTTAATTACTTGTAGAACCTGTGTTTCTAGGAGTTGAGATAACAACACCCCCCTAATTATAAAAACATTTTCGAGTTTTTATTTAGGGCGAAGGGGGGGGGGGGGGCCCCGACCCTTTAATATTAGGGGGAGGGGATTACCTATTTGGGCTTTTGGGATCTGGTCTGCGGGGTTTTACAGTGTTTTCAACAGGGGCTTTGGGTTTGAGGTTGCAGCTAGTTTAGTGTAGCCTTTTGCATGTTCAGGGCTTAGGGTCAAAACTTGCCCTAGGCTAGGGAATCGGCAAGGTCGGAACTCCTCGACCAGTGCTTAGGGTTTAGGGTTTAGTGCCTCCTTGTCCAGTCTGTAAACCCTAAACTGAACATCTCCTCCAAAGCCCAGGGCTGAATACTTGTCCCGGCGGGTGCTGCTAGGCTTTGAGGCTTAGGGGAGTTGTTGGCTTCGGGTTTAGGGCTGAACAGCTTAGGCTTCCAGTTTCGGGGGCTCGTCTAGGGCTGGTTAGCACATGGAGCGTGCAGAAATCCTTGAGCCCGTTGTTGCTGCTTGGCCGCTGCAAACCCTCAGTCAGCAGCACGGCCGCATGTCGGGTGCAAGGGCTTCAGGCGCATCGGAAGCCACCGAGAGAGCATAAGTCCTACACATTTTCTAGGAAAGCCTGTTAAGCTTCATGGCACGCTCTGTAAAAACCTTTTCAAAGGCCTATAACAGCCGGCACGACCATGTAAGCACACAGAAAGTGCGAGCCCGATAGTCTGGCAAAGCCATGGGTCAGCAAGCGAGCTGCTGCCAAGAAGAAGAACTGGATGGGCCAAAGGACTTCTGGGATGATATCCTTTAAGGGTGGCATAAGGGGTCCTTTAAGGGATCTATAAGGGTTCTGGAAAGGTTCAGGATTCCCAAGGCTTCATGGCTGCGAGGTTTTGAAGAGTGATGCAATACAGTACTTGGGACCTAAGATCCTACTGGTAGAGTATAGGAACTTGATTGAGGAACCCTGGCCCCAGAACTCAGCCTCATAAGGACTCACACAAAAAGAACCCCAATAAAGGACCCAAGGTCTATTGAATCAGGTTTAATTCGATTGATGATATTAATCCTACATTATCCTATGGGAGTTATGGTATATGCCTGATTATGGGTAATGCAGCATCAGCTGTAGTAGGGCTAGGGTTGAGGGCTCCGGGTATGGAGCTGCTTCGCCACGCGGGCTGGAAAATGTGGGCCTTCTGGATCTCTTTCGTTTGGGAGTGCTGCAGAGTCGTCGCTTTGAGCAAGGCTTTCTATCCTAAGGCACGTCTCTGTTTGTCAGTAGATGGACTGTTAGGGTAGGTGATGTTCACTTGGGACATGGGGCATGAGATTGGGAGCTCAGGAAGCACCCGAAATGTACGAAAGCACTGTAGGTATAGATCCTACAAGGGGATATACACTACCAGCATGGAATTAGGTCCCAAAAGACCAGCCTAATAATGACTGTGGGGACCTAATTCCACAATAGTAGTACATATGGGGGTTTCCGATAATTAGGGGTACCTTACTTTGGGGTCCTTTTAACAAGGATCTTAGCATTTAGGGGACTATATATTAGGGTCCCCTATTTTCGGAAACTCCCATATGGACCCTCTTGGGACACCCAAAGGGTCCAAGTACTGTTACGGGGGATACTTCCCAAAGCATAATAGTAATTCCTAATATAGGAACCCGACATTCTACCATAAAGGTACTTTGGGACCTTATTCTAACTATTGTGGCCTGAAGGCCTCGCGTGGAATCTCCCCGGTTCCCTGATTTCCCGACAGCCGGGTTTAGGGTTTAGAGTTTAGGGTTCATGGGGGCCCAAATATCTATACTATAATGGCACCAAAACCCTATTCTGATCATTAAGCCCCCTATACTATAATACTCTCTTAGTATCCCTTCTAGTAACCCTTTTAGACCCCTTTTCAAGGAGATTCCAATTATTAAGGCCCCTATATTCCGTGGGAAGGAAGTGATCCAGCCGGAGGTCGTCTCCCACAGGCGCACAGGCTTTAGGCTTTAGGGTTAGGGTTAGGGTTTAGGGTTTAGGTTTGTGTGTAAAAGAAAGGACCGTTGGCCTATGGATACGGCGCTGGGGTGGGTGGTCCGTGCCGTTCCCGGTAGCATGTGTGAGCACACACAAGTACGTATATACCTATATACATGTGTGTTTACATAGGTACATGCATGCATGCATGCATGCATACACACATACGTACCTACCCTCTTAAGGGTTCTAGAAGGGATCTATCCCGGGCTTCGACGATGAGCTGAAGTGTCGCGGGCAGAAAGGTGGATGTTTTTAGGATCGTGAAGGTTCCATTTTCCGGGTTGTATTACGGCTTTGCAGGGTTTCTTGGTTGTTTTTTTGTTTACAGGGTTCGTGTGGCTAGAGAGTGTGCTCCGCAGGTTTCTCGACCTCACCCGGCATGTATGTATGTATGTATGTATTCATACTTATGTGCGTGGTTGTCACAATTATGGTCCCGTTGTGGGTCCTTATTATAATATGGCACCTAATATTTAGGGTACCTTAAAAGGGACCATATTATTGACAACTACCCATGTATGTATACACATACACACACACACACACATATGTTGTCTTGCATACTGCTGGCTGAAATTTATGACTCGTAGGGCCTTCTCAGAACTATGCGAGAATCCATGCCAGCGCTTCATCTACACACCTTCGGGTCCTACCAGGGGCTAGGGGTTTGGGGCTCAGGGCTAAGGGTTCAAGGTTTTGTAAGGGTAGTTTGCCACATTACATGTTTTAGCACGTTGTGCGGGTAACTAGGGCACAAGGGTTACATGTACATACAAGATGGTATCCCTATTTATTATGGAAGGTTAAGTTCTTCGAGAGGAACCCAGACTAGTAGCACACCCCAGGGTCCATGATTTCTAGTGGTACATCTCAAAGTAACTAGATAGGGACTACTCGAAGGCCCAAGTATCTGATATATGATACAGGTTCGTTTTCAGGGGAGTATACCCTAAACTTGGAGGTTCGTGCAGTGACGGGGAGATGAGCGACTGGCTCCATGTAACCATTGAAGAACCTTTTATGTAGTGTGCTAGGGTTCCGGGGTTTAGGGGTCCTTCAAATTACCATGTGGGAACCCTTGTGTACTGTATAAGTACATGGCCTGTCTCTAGATCCCTTTTTAAACCTTTTAAAGCCACATACTATTGCCCGTAAGTCCAAATATTAGGTCTTGTTCTAAAGCCCACGGAGTCCTAGTACCAGCATAAAAGTTTCCAGGCAATACGCTAAATCCCATAAACCCTACACCCTTAACCCCAAGCTCGAAACCCGTAACCCCAAACCCTGAACCCGTAGCGCTGCACCCTAAACCCTACACCCTTATATATAACCCTTAAACCCGAAAGCCTTAACTCTAAACCTTTAGTGGGGAAGCCCTCGAGGTACGAAGGCAAAGATGACGAAGACGGCGGAGCGAAGGCTGATTTCTAAGGGCTCCAAGGGTGGGATGAAGATGAGTTTGGGGTGTACCGTACGGGCCTAAATAATTACCAATACTATTGTGGTGGTTCCTTAGGCCCCAAAATTTAGGCCCCTACATTAGGGTGCTTTATAGGGTCTATCCAACCCAGCCCTTGCGCGCAGGAACAAGAGGTGCGTCCGACGGGAAGCCAGACGCATGAAGGCAGTCCGTCATGGCGAAGGGTTCGGCTTGAGAGCGGTTTATCTATAATCTCCTTAGGAAGTCTTTTTTATCAAATAAAACCCAAGAGAATATCGACAATATTATTTTTATTGTGGTTCTAAGGGGGGTATAGTTCAGCTTGAGAGCTATTAACCTTTATCTAGCCCTTTATTTACGGTACCCTTCAAAGGAACTGGTGTGTAAGCATTAAGGCCCCTATTGTAGAACCCTGCTATAGACCCTTATTAGGCTTATGGTTTAGGGCTTCTGGGCGGATCTATGAGCTTGCCCGTTGCAAGTACATGACTTGACACGACAAGCCCTGCACACGCCCAGGACCTAGTTTAGTGGTGGAACGGTTAGTCCACACCGAATTCCCAAGGAACTACTGCTGCCACGGCCAAGCTTGATCACTATTGCTGATGAACAAATTTATACATTTGCCTTCAGAAGAAGCCTACAGCAATGTCCGTAGTTGGGGCGCTTGAAACGTAATTTACCTGGCTGGTAATGCTCATGCACCTTGAGGAGTATCGCCGGCATGGATCTTAAGCCTCAACCTCAACCCTTGGACCCCAAGCCCTACCTATCCGACACCTGAACCCTACAATAAATTAAGGAGCACTGAAGCACTGGGACGTGGGAAGCACGAACACGTAAAAAATGGAAGCGGCATAGGCCTTCCCTTGCGAGTTTGGGGATCCGCTTAAAGCTCCTCTAGGCAAACTTGCTGGAAAGTCCGCCAATCGCGAATTCTGCTGAAGAGGCAAAAACGATCGGCGCAGTTTTTCCATGAGCATAGGTGGCAGCTTGCCATTCACTTGCTCACTGATTTGCAGCCAACTAGAGCGCATTAACAGAACATCTTTGCTCGCGGTAGCTCGCTAGCCAAAAAGCTCCTCCGGAATGCACACAGGTGGCCACATGCTGATGAAGCCAATGTCGGGGACAGATTGCCTGCTGTGTGTCTTGTTGGGCCTAAAGATATGTACTTGCAAGCTCATGAGCAGTTCTGAACACATGTAGCCTAAACCCTAGACCCCTAAACCGTAAACCTCAGATGGTACGGTTCTCAGTGTTATCTCGCCAAGAGTTCGTCAAACCCAGCATGGACCGACCCCAACTAACCTGCCTTTTTAGGGCTGCTTGTCACATAATTTCTGGATACAAGCCCTTTAAAGGGTGGGTTATTTGGCGTTTAAACCCAACGCTGTACCCCTAACGACCCATAAGCCTCCCGCATGGCTTAGCGGTTTTGTCACACGGGCCAAGATTTCCCTGACGCATACACCTTCAACCATAGGAGGCTTGCTGCCGTGCCTATTCATGCTTTATAATTAACTGAGTAACTGTTGTCGATTCCAGCCAGCCGGTCGTACGATGCCTGATCTCAAGGATCCAAAGTACTGACATCGTCGAACATAGGGTTTCCATATTAGAACTATAATATTATGATTTGGGGAAGTATCCCTCCCCCATTACAATACTTAGGACCCTTATACCCTAAATAAACCCTTACAGAGCCCTCTAAAGGAACCCTTACAAAGCTTTAAAGGAACCCATATAGAACCCCTGATTAAACGCCCCCTGTGGCACTTATCGGGGATGCCAATTCAGTTTGCAGGCATCCTTTAATGGTACCATAACAGATACCTAGGACCTTGTTTATAGCATTGAACCCATGCCCTAGGCTATCCCTTCAAGCTTGCATAGCTCGACTCATACGCTTACACGGTGTAAGGTTTAGGACTAGGATTCAGGGTTTAGCGTTTAGGGTTTAGGATCAATTAGGATTTGTTCAAGCGCCGTCGCTGAGCACGTCATCTGTTGAACTTTTCTTGCAGCAGACTCTCGAGCAGAGTTTACGTTGACTGCGACCAGATTCCGGCACCTAATTGCGGTTTATCCGAAAACAATAGTCGCCAACCGCTAACCCTAAACGGTTAACCCTCTAAACCCGAAGCCCCTATAAACCATAAGCGCCTTAAGCACCCTAAGCCCCTAAACCCTGCACCCCTATAGACCCCAAGCCTGTAAACCCTAAACTTCTAAACACCAGGACGAGCCGACTGGAGAATATGAAACACTTAGAGGTGGACACCGCTCCCTGGCCTCATTTATTCGCCCAGAGGGTCCAAAATACCTATATAGTAGAATGTAGGGCATCTATAATAGGAATTACGGTTATGATTTGGGGAAGTATGCCCCACTAAGTACCTAGGACCGTTTGGGTAGGGGTTTACTCCTCTCTACCAGGTTTCGATACATGACTCTGTGAGGCTTCTATAAGGGTTATTGTATGTGGTTTTCAGGGGCTTGTATAGGTTTAGCTCCCGGGCAGTGTTGATGGCTTTCGCCATCTGCACTGTAAGCAGTCAGTATTATTAAACTAACTGTAAACATCACTGTTGTTAAATTACGACTCATGACTTCGTCAGGGTCCTCGTACCTAAACCCTACACCCTAAACCGCATGTTGGGGCTCATATGGTACTTTGAAAGGTTTTAAGCGTGGCACCCCACCATTGGGGTACACTGACCCTCTGGGACTCACAGGGACAGTAGTCGGAGTCGTCGTCTTAGCAATACGCGCGTTTCTGATAGCTACTTGGAGGTTCACGGGTAGCTAGAAGTGCACTTTTAAGTATAGTTGTCTGGGTGGATCCGGCTGGAAGGTGTCCTGAACCACCTGGTCTCGTTCAGACGGTACTTCAAAACGGTGAAACCGGAAGCCCTAGATCATCCTAGATGTCTAGACCCGAAATCACCTACCTTTGGAAGGACTTATATAATCAGTTCATAACACGGAGCACCTAAAAGGTAGGTTATTTTGGTCCAGGTAAAGTCCAAAGCCCAAGCCCAACGCCCTTATCCCCGTCTCGGCAATATGTCCCAATGTCTACATCGCAATGGCTCCTTGCACGCCAGCCCTGAATCGTCCTTATTTATGGTTTTTGGTGCCTCAAAATAAACTCTAAACCTGCAACTTTGAAACCTAAACCCAAGACTCCTAATCCTAAACTCTAAAACCCTAAATCGCAAACCCTAAACCTCTAAACCCTAAACCCTAAAACCCAAACCTTTAAACCCTAAACCTTACAACCCCCAAACCGTGAACCGAGGAAATCATCCGTGGCATTTCGCTGCGAAGAACTCTTCAGAGCTTCGGACGCCTTTGGCGATGGTCTCCGCTGGACTTGCAAGAGGCCAGCACTATCCCTCAGAGTGGTCACCCAGAGGGTCCTAAGTAGAAATGTCGCAGAATGTAGGTTCATTTACGGGAGCTCTGAGGTTCCTAGAAGTACCTATATTGCGGAAGGTAGGGTTTATACATTAGGAATTACGATTCTGACTCGGGGAAGTATCTCCCATAACGGTACCTAGGACCTTTGGGTCCTGTATCAAAACTGGATAATTCGGCCCCAAAGTACCGAAATAGGGATTGCTTTATGACCAGAGTACCTTGCCGGGGATGGAGTACATGACTACCAGTCCCTAAAACTTAAGCCCTAGACCCTGAACCGAACTACTCGATACTTGCATTTGCTTGATTTGTTCCTTGAGTGTCAACACACAACCATTGCTCAGCACACCTAGCCCTTTACATCTCTACCCAGACTTCCACCCCGCCCATGTGCCTACATACTTTGGCATGAATGTATGTAGTCCCCATTTGGATACCTTTCGGGCCCAAGTATATAAGCAGATGAGAACGTGGACGCTTGTAGGGTCGCTACGTCTTGTTGGATCATGGGCACTTCGCCCGGGTTTGAGGCCTCCTGTCAGTTAGCTTGGGGTGTCTCAGAAAGCGCATTGCCTCGTGATTTAGGGTTCCAGCTTAAACTTTTGCGGCCTTTTAAGGTATATGCCTGAAGTGAGAGGTATGTTGGGCTCTGGGTTCCCTGAGTATGCTGCCAAGCGCAAGGAAGCACGGCAGACTTTGTGGACCAAGTCGATGCCTTGCGGCACGTTGTGTTTTATTCATGGCTGCTGCGAATTTTAGATTGAGGACTGTGTTCACGATTTCGGATTTCAAGGCTTAGGGCTTGGCTGTTGGGGTTGAGGTTGGGGTGTGTGGTTTTCAGCATTTCTGTTTACAGGGTTTAGAGTTGGGCTGTTGGGTTGATGTGCAGGTATTGCTTAGCTTCGGGATTCAGGCTTGTGGCTTTCCGTTTTGAGTTAGTGTGAATGACTGTGTTTATTATCAACAACAGCTGCTGCCGTCGTTGCTGCTTGCGGTTGCCGCTGACCCGTTGCCAGTTGCTGTTGCTGTTTCCGTTGCTGTCGTCGTTTTTACCCGGTTCATGGCTGTCGGTCCAGGGTTTGTATTGTCGCAAGAGGTTTGAGCAATGTATGCAGTTGGAGTTGCACATGTCGAAGACCAGAGCACGCGCACTTCCTCCAGTGTGGGTTTGCAATTTTGTCTTTCCGGTTGTGAACCTAGTTTCGGGTCTACGGTGTCGACATGTTGGAAGTGAGGCAATATGAGTATACCGATATACTAACATAAACTACATAATTTCTACATGTGTCGAAACATTTAGAAGTCTTGCCGCCTTGGGTTCTTCAAATAAGTATATTTATATGCAACTATTCAGGCCCCTATGCTACGCAGGTTGTTGCCGTTCGGCCTGCCATACTGGATCTCCAGCCGCCACCACCACCACCCCACCACCACCACACCCGCTGCTCCACCACCCCACCACCCCACCACCCCACCACCCCACCACCCCACCACCCCACCACCCCACCACCACCCCACCACCCCACCACCCTGAAATTCTGTGGTTTAGGGTTGCAGTTTCAGGGTTTGGGCTGCAGGCTTTAGATGGCTTTAGCATGTCTTCTATAGAAGAGACCTCAAATCCTAAGCGGTTTTTGCAACCTCATGTGACAGCGCGTATATCCCCAAATCATGACTACAAGCAACGAAGCGAGCAAGACGACCAAGACGACCACGACCGGCAGGACCAGCACGACAACCACGATTACTAGGAGACCACAAGAGCACCACCAAAGTACCGACCACTAGAAGACCGGACAGAACCCCAAAACACACAGACACCACCAGAGGACCATCAGGACACCAGCTTTGCCCCCATCTACTAATGGCTGGATTTGCTTCACAGGCACCTCCACAATGCTTCCCTTCATGTACTGCCGGGGCACAGGATCACGGGCCAAAATGCTTCCCGCGAAGAATTTCTGGCGGAAATCGAAATGTCAGGTCAAAGGCCAGAGTATTGGAGTTTGCCGTGGGAACTGGGGTGTGTGGGTTTAGGGGTTCGGGGAATAGGGTTTAGGGTTTGGGGGGTTAGGATTTAGGGGGGACGGGGCTCGACAGATCCTGGGCATGAGCGCAAAGTATGCACCGCACCACAGCAGGAGCCGGTTCGGGGAGCCTCCCGTCGTGCGGCTATACTAACCGATAGGGTTTCCATACCGACTCTTCTACCTTTGAACCGTAGCCCTAAGCCCCCAACCCTGAACCCGTAAACCCTGAACCCCTAAACCCCCGACCCTAAACGATGAACCCGTAGCCCCAGGAAGCGTGTGGCTGGCTTCGACATCTTCCTGTCCCACACATGGATGACCCCGGGATGGCTACTTGGTCGGGGATCCAGGCAGTGCTTTCATGATTGGGCGACTTACAGTATAGGATATAATATAAATAGATCAATCGTGATATGAATATATATATATATATACACATATGTTTAGTATATATGTGTATATTTACGGCTTGTAAGGTCTAGGGCCTAGAGTTTCGTATGTCTTCGCCTCCCCTATCCTGTTCGTTTGTAGGATCTCCACGTTTCCATCTTGGGGTTCCTGTTAGATGATACTTAAATGAGGGCCTTCATCTATTTTTGATGTGGTGTTACGCCATCTCAGCCTTTTTATTCGGACCTCCATGCAACTTCAGCAGCTCCGATTTGGCTTTCGGGTTTCTTGCGGGCTAGGGTTCAGGGGGTCGCCAGTCCCAAACTCGCGTTAGCAATCTGTCAAGGGGACTGCGGCTGCGAGTTTGTTTTGAAGCTGCAGCTCAAACCGGTTCAGGGCCATCCTGCCTATAGTCTCCATTGCTGTTCCTTCTTGGGATTACCTTCTGGGCTCCTACATACAAAGCTGACTAAAAGGGCCCGCGAAAAGAATCAAACAACATAAACCTAGACCTTTAAACTCCGAGCCTTTGTACTTTCCAAGGGTAAAAGGAGGGACCCTTAATAAGGACCCCTAGGTATATACCCTTAACATAGCTATATATGCCCATTAATTATATAGCCCATGATAGGGTAGGGGTCCTTTCCCCTTTGGTACTTGAAGTCCCTGTCCGGTTGACGGTTGAAGGAGTCGGCCCAGGGTCAACCGTAACTACCCGGAGGGCACGGACATGTGCAGCGATTCGAGGATTTAAGTTTTTGTGGTGCTCCCGAACCGAAACCCTAAATCCTAAACCCCAACTTTCAACCCTAAACTTTAAAGCCTTAACCCTAAACTTTAAACCCTAAATCGTAAGCCCTAAACCCTAACTCCTAAACTCAAACCACTAAACCCTCAATGCTTCGATGCGTTCGCGAGTGTTTTAACCGATTTTGACCGTCAGCATAAAGCTGCTTGAATCTTGGGCCTAGCAGAACCTTAGTAGCTCAGTAGGTAGCCTTTTGGGTTTGTATACCCCTACCATAATTGAATAGGTTAACCTTTTCTGGGCTAAGATACTCAGCCCCGGAGTGGTTGCCAACAATGTTCCTCGGAGCTATGCTCAGTCTAAACAGTCAGTATTTGGGAGTTTCCGAAAACAGGGGACCCTAATATAGTACCGTAAATAATAGGATCCCGATTCTAAGGATCCCTAAATGAGGTACCCCTATTTTCGGAAGCCCTTATTTATGGCTCTTAAGCCCAGGCCCCCTTCTTATTGTTCAGGCCGTACCTGAAGACCATCAGCTTTTAAAGGTTAGGAGCCGCACGCGATGGTCTTACCTGTAGTTTAGGGTTTAAACTACTCCCTACGGCCTCTCATCGCAGGCATAGGCGCGAGTCAGCACACCCGAAAAACTAAACCCTGAACCCTAAACCCGAGACCCTAAACCTTACAAGCCCTAAGCCCCTAAACCCAATGCTCAACTTGTAGGTTCATGGGTAACTATAAGTGGAGCTATAAGTAGGGTAACTCTAGTTATCACCCATATTCGGGGACTTATAAACTTCAATTATAACTACCCATGAACCTCCAAGAACTGTGAACTGAGGCGTAAGGTGCTGACCCTGACCCTCCGCTGCTGGGCCTGGCAGAGCTGCAGGGGTTACCTTTAAGTCTTTAGGTTCTAAGCCCTCTCCCTATGTACTTAGGCCTCAGCGGGCTTCTTATATGGGTATGTTAAGGCCTACCTATACCCTAAGGCTCGAAATAGCCCAAAAGCCTTATATAATAATATAGTATGGTCTTTGGGCCCAAAAGCCTTAAGATACGAGTCCTTAGAGCCTAAGCGTATAGGCACATGGAGCCTTAGAGTCCAGTTGTGCTGGCGCAGTTTGATCTTGCGAATGCAGTGGAATATGGCATGTGCACCTCAAGAAACCATACACTTGGCCAAGCTCGGCTGACAATGAAAGTGGCCAGGCATCGAATTAGTTGTCACCCTGACGTTGTACCATTGTTTCAAAATCAGGTAGACAAACCGGAATGTCGTTTGTCGAGCACAGTTTTCTCGTTAGGTCTTGAAGCTGCGTTCTCAATGCTGCTTTGTTCGTGTGTCCTTTCCTGCTCATCCCGAAACCCCAAATCCTAAGCCCCAAACCCGAAACCCTAAGAGGGCTTCGGGCTTTTAGGGTTCAGCGTTTAGCTTATAGTTTAGGGTTTATACCTCGGTAGCATTTTCCGGCCAGAGCACAGTATACCACATAGTTCCATGGACACTGTACAACCGGATAGTAAACCCTATAGAGACAAAACAACACTGTACTCACTGTTACACGCGTAAAACCTTCCGACATAACGCCAGGAACATTTCTGGACACCTGAAACCCGACATCTCAACCCTAAAGCCTACCTTAAGGCTCCTGGACCCTTGTAGTGAGATCCCGGACCCTAGCCCCCAAAGCCGAAACCCTCCCCCAGAGAGCCCAAGACCCTCTTTGGAGCCTTAGGGTAATCCCTAAACCCTAACCACTAAACCCAAAACCCCTAAACCCCAAACCCCTAAACCCTAAAACCCTTAAACCCTAAACCCCTAAACCCTAAAACCCTCAGCCTTAGGGTAATCCCTAAGCCCGACATCCCCAGGATCGGGCTGGCACGTGGCCCTCTGCTTTTGGGCTCTTGGAGCCTTGTTGGCCATCATACTCTCCGTGATGGATATCCTGCCCATGCCAGGCCGGGGGTCCCCACCAGAGCCTCCAAAACCCCTTCAATTAAGGAATATATACCTTAAATTTATAATAGGATCCCTAATAAACTTTAAGGTACACTCCTTAATTAAGGGGTTTTGGATGCTCTGGGTCTCTCAAAGGATCTGGGGTCTACGATTTCAGGATTCTGTTTTTTTCAGATGGGCGCTGAACCCCGTAGTCTATTTGGGTTTGGGGGCCTTTTGCTCGTCTCAGGTGTTGTGCTCACCCCAAGCCTCGAAGGTTTTAGAGTCTCGGGTCTCCATCCATCTTAATGTATGAGCATCCCCAGCATCATGAATATCATGGGCATCATCAGCAGCATCATCACCGTCATCACCACCATCAGCATCATCATCATCGTCGCAGCCATTTTCACACGAAGCAAGACACCTGCAAGCGACGGACACGACGACGACGACGAGTATTACTACAGCTAACCCTCCTCCTGCCGCTGCTGCTTCTGCTGCTCTTACGACGATGATAACGCAACTTCAGCGACTACTTATGCTAATGCTAGTAACTGCTAGTATACCAATGCATATGCTTAGACTCGGCTGAGACCAGAGTTGCGGTAAGACCAAACGCACTCATCGCAGGAATGACAACAGTCTTGACAACACCAGTAGTACTGGCAGCAGCAGCCGTTGCAAGGTAACGGGTGGCGGTGGCAGCGGCCGTGGCGGTAGGGTTGGGGGTGGTGCTGCTGCTGGTGGTCGGGGGTGGTGCCGACTGCAGTGCTGGTGGTGGTGGTCGTGGTAGTCGTCGTAGTAGTAGCAAGAAGAAGAAGAGGAAGCTGTTGCTGTTGTCGTTGTTGCTAGGAGTAGGAACTAGCAGCAGCGGGGCAGCGCAGTACAATGAAGACACAGGCCCTGAACTCTACCCCCACACCCCAAATCCCAACCCTAAACCCGAACCTGAACATTAAAACAAAACTAAACGGCCTCTTCCGAAGAAGGCACCATGGAGATCGAACTACCAGGCTTTGAGCAGTCTTTCGTCCCTGTTGGCATTTGGGCAACTCTGCTGCATCCGCGAAACACGGGCCTAGGCTTGTAGGTTTCGTTTTTTGTTTCTTCATGAGCCTTGGTTGTTTAGTGCTGTAGGGTGCAGGGATTCAGGATGTAGCGTTTGCATGGTTTCAGTGTGAGGGTGAAGCGTACACTGTACACCATCCTACACCCATTGTCCAGTCAGAAGGTGTCGATACCTGCAAAACTGTTTAAGCAGTACTGGTGACTGAAACCAGCATACAGGTGCCAATCGAGGACAACGAAGCATTAATCCAGAAGCCCTAAACCATACGCCCTAAGCCCTAAACTCCACAACCTCAAGCTGAAAAATTATCCCAGGTCATGCTGATCGGTGCAGTGAGTCTCCTGCTGGGCCTCCCCTCGGCAGTTAGCGTGAACAAAATCGGAATTTCCAGGTTTCAAAATGTACCAGCTTAGGGGTTTTTATAAGGGTCACACCAGACATGTATAGGATTTCAGAAGGGTCTAAGGACCAGTGCAGCCAATAATTTGCTACTCTTGGGCTTAGGACAGTAGTATACATGTTTATAGGGTTAGTTTTGGGCAGACTGCTTATTTATTACCCTAAGGCTTGAACTAGCCCAAAAGCCTTACATAGTATGGTCTTTGGGCCCAAAAGCCTTAAGATACGAGTCCCTAGGGCCTAAGGGTTAGGGTGGGGGTTCTTTTTTTTGTATTTTTTATTGTTTTTTTTTGGGTATTTTTTACTGTTTTCGGTTCGGCGGACGCAGGACTCAGTCAGTCAGTCAACGAGCCAACCGAGCGGTCAGTCAGTCAGTCGGTCAATCAGCCAACCGAGCGGTCAGTCGCCAAACGCGCGGTCAGTCAGCCAGCCAGCCAGTCAGTCCGTCTGCCAACCGTGCGGTCAGTCAGCCAGTCAGTCAGCCAGTCAGTCCGTCTGCCAACCGCGCGGTCAGTCAGTCAGTCAGTCGCTCGTCCAGCGGTGAGTCGGTCAGCCAGTCAGTCCGTCTGCCAACCGAGCCGTCAATCAGTCTGGCTGTCTGTTAATCAGTCTCCGTCAATCCTCTAGTCAGTCGGGCTGTTGATCTGGCGTTGCACCTGCAACCAATGAGCATGGGGTACCGGAGACTCGGAATCGCCAAAAGAGGGGGCGCGTTTAAGATATATGATGAACCGGAACCGCCGAATTCAGGGGGCGTGTTTAAGATAGATGACGAGCCGTTATCACCAAAAGAGGGGCCGTGTTAAAGACATATGTTGAAACGGAGCCGCCAAAAGAGGGGGCGTGTTCAAGATATTTGGTGAACGGTTATCGCCGAATGCGGGCGCGTGTTAAAGATATCAGGTGAACCGGAATCGCCGAATGAGGGAGCGTGCTGAAGATATGATGAGCCGTTATCACCAAAAGAGGGGCCGTGTTTAAGATATATGGTGAACGGTCATCGCCGACTAACGATATATGGTGAACCGGAAAGGGGTGTGTCTAAGTTTTTTTAGCATAATCTATGGTGAACCGGAATCGACAAATGAGCGCGCTTGCTTAAGATGTGATGCACCGCCGGTCCTCTTGCAAATGCGTTTGTAAATGGGGGGGGCTGCGCCGCCCCCCAGACCACCCCCCCGCTTTCTCAAACCCTGTTTTTCTTTAGCGAACTTCGTACCATCAAGAACGCTATGGCCATTTGCGATGGTCGCAGCAAGTCAAGCGCATAGCTATTCTGGGACTTTTCAAATCCCGTCCCAGGGGCCCAACCCCCCTCGCTTTATGTTTGGGCCACGCAAGCTAAGATATATGGTGAACGGTTTTCGCCGAATGAGGGAGTGTTAAAGACGTAATTATATGGTGAAGCAAAATTGCCAAATAAGGGGTGTGCTTCATATATATATATATATATATATATATACCTGGGGGACCATAGTTCCGCAATTTTCTTTGAACTCGCCACTGGTGGCCTGAATATTTCCGGTGGCATAAACCTCCCTTCCTAAAGATCACCAGAAAACGTGATGAATCGACATTCGTTCGGACTTTTTCACTCCCACACCTTTGCGAGTGCGACCTTGTACAGGTACAAGGTTCTCTCGGGCACAAATCGTGGGTTCACAGATCTTGCCAGAGTTGCAATTCGATTAATGAAGTCCTCGGGCATCTGGCATGAATAAGCCAGAGGGTTGACGGGTGACCGATTGGCCTCCTTGTCCACCAGCAGCTGGTGCACCACGTGCATCAGCATATGGTACTTCGGTGTCAATTTGAACCGGGGCAACGATCTTGAATGTGCCATGGCCGCAATTTGGGTATATAAGGTAACCATCGCCGTGGCCAGCCGACAAACCTTGATAAGGCGACGTTTGTTCAAGAACAACCCTGCCTTATACAAACAGCTGAGGAAGCCATCGGAGGCTCGCAGGCACTCCAGAATCTGACCCAAGTACTCAGCCTCGCTGTGGCCCTCCAGGGCACCTGACTCTTGTAGAGCCTCGTACTTCCAGATCAGAAATTTCAGCACGAATGTGGTATCGGCACCTTTGAACCACTGCCTCGACAGAACAGGGAAAGCGACTATGCACAAAGCTGTCTGTTACAAGACCAAAGTGTTTTGACACTATAAAAGAATGCCAAGCAGTGAAGGCACCCGACAGGGAAGTCTGCTGACGAGCTGATCCCCAACAGTCCCTTCGCAGTGAGGTTATTCATATGCAAGTAGAGACCTCGATCAGCAGAAAATTGCTTCATCTCCTGAAACAAGAATTCCAGGTTCTTGTCCAGACCTCTGGCATCAGATCCAGTCAGCTTGAAATCCCATAGAGAAACCTCAGCTTATAAAGCATATGGACCAGGGTTTGGGGGGCTTTCAACATTTACGTATAGTGGTCTAGGGTCGGCAAACCAAAACATACTATGCGACAGGAGCTCCAGCCCTGAACCAGCAAGTTCGGCGTGGACTCCTTTGTGACAAGTATGGAACAGATCTATCAGATAGAACTTTGGCTTGTCTTCCACTGCCATGGGAATCTTCGACGTGAGCCCAGACTCTTTGTTCGGATCCAAAGGAATAGTATAAGATGCACCACCAATGCTTTGTACCCAAGGAGCCGTCTCAAAGTTGCATTCATGCCACGATGGACACTGCCGAGTGTTGGCCATACACAAGTGGCATATTCCATGCTTGAAGGGGTACGATTCTCGCCGAAAGTGCCTGAGCAAACGACCCAGCTTATCCAGAGCCGGCCAATCAGCCTTCAAACCCAGAACAGCGACCCGCCATGTCTGCGTGCAGCCGCCGCTGCGGATCTCCAGGCCATCGTAGAAGAGTTTCGCAAAATCTTCTGCCCAGATATTGATAAGTTTGTGAAGGGGCAGGTCCTTCTTGGCATACAAGTACTTGGGCATGCATGCGAACAGCTGCCTGGTAAGAAATGTATTCCCCACGAAGTTCATTTTCATCTTGTCCTCTGCAGTTTGCGAGTCTTGTGCATCACAGCCATCGCCGAGCAGTGATTCTGACCCCAACACGAAAACAGCTGACTTCTTGTAGCCACGGCCCTCATCCCCTATGAGGTAGAGTGGAATGGTACAAGCCCTTGCACTTGCAGGCAGCTGGAAGATGGGATGCTGTGGTCTCAGCGGTTGCATCTTGTCCCAGAAAGCTTCAAGGTTGACATCTTTTGTAAGCACGTTCAGCTTGTTCTGATCAGCTAGCACCCGAAGATAATCAGAAAACAGAATACACGGAAAAAGCTGCTTCAAGCCAACATCAACTCCGGTTACCGGTATTGGTGCCTGGCTTTCTGGCATAGTAGCCAAAGCGTCTCGGGTCTTCTGTGCTGCATGACCGGTGAGGTGCCCACGACTCATCTTGCAAAGAAGCCTGTAAGACTTTAGCTTTGCGGCAGCCTCCTCCCCAAAAGATTCGTTGATCTCCGACTCCACGGCACGTGCCACCCCGGCAACCAACTCATGTGATACCTTATAACAAGAAAGCATAAGAAACACTTCCCTTCGAAACCCCTTAGTAATACAACCATACCCCTATTAGGTTTTATAAAACATAGATACTCATAGAATCTTATAGTTCCCTCGTATAGACGAAACTCAATGGCCCCGATACACCTTTGGTAAGTGCTTCGGTCAGAGCCGATGCTATAGCTCCAGGCTTTTGTCCAGAGCTGGCAGTAGACGATGCAGCCGAAGCATTGGATTTGTTACTGTCCACAGATCGCAGGGATAAAGTACCTGCGGGGATTTGTTTTGTTGGTCATGACTGAACAGTGTAGCTGTGTAGCCGGGTGCAAACGATGCTGAAAGACCTTTTTGTTCGGGCTCTGCTCGCACGACCCTTCCCCGAAGTTGCACATGAAGTGCCCACGTGTCTTGTGGGACAAGGGCTCGAGGTCAGAACCATCTTTTTTTGTGCCCAGGATAATGACATGCTAAGGTTTGTATAAACCTTAATCACAGTGCGTGAGAAACGGCCTCGAGGTATTCAAAGTCTAGGCTAGCCGGGTTCAGCCTTTATGTAAATGTACCACTGCACCAAGCTCTTGCCCTTGACACACAGCACAGCTCGAAGCACAGCCATCCAAGGCTCACTTCGGCGACCTGTTCGCCGCCTTGGCCTTGCCTTTTGGCTTTGCGGGATCAGGCTTGGGGGCCGCCTTCGGCTTTTCCGTCTTGGCACCGGACAGCACAGTCCTGATCATGCATGTGTTGCAAGCACAGTGGATCACAGGGTCACAATAACTGCAACATGTAGCTGCTGATTTGACAGCCAAGTGACTTCTTGATTTTGTTCTCCTCCATAGCCATGCGACTCGACCTGCAGGTGGAGTCTTCGGATCATGCATGGCTGTGCGGAGGACAGGCATTGGTGGCCGAGTGGCAGCTTGTTGATCTGGCCCATCAGCTTAGTCAGCTTCCTTAAAGCAATAGGTTAGGGCTTCTAGGGTTTAAGGGTTATAAGGGTTTGGGTTGCCAAAGGATAGTTTCATGCTGCCCAGCATCCCGGAATCAATCTCCTCGTCGCAGTCATAGGCAGACTTCATGTCGGCGAGTTCATCATGTTTCACACCCAGTTCTTTGATCTGTGACTTCAGCAAATCCGCTTTCCTGGATGCACGAAATTGAAAAACATGCAGCCAAAACCCAACTGACCTGTGCCCCTTGCAGTTTAATACGGCCACGTGGCTCCGTAGCACCAACCTTCTGGCACCGTTCCAGGAGCTTCGAGGATCGGCCAGAAAGCCTCAAGATGTCGTCCAGCAGGGCCGGGATCCCTTCGATGTCCTGGGTTGTGCGGATTAGGATTCTGGGTTTAAGGGTTTATAATATTAGGTTTATAGTAGGTTTTTATTAGGGTTGTATAGGGTTTATTAGGGCCTTATTAGGTTTATTAAAGGTGATAGTAGGTTTTTATTAGGGTTGTAGGGTTTATGAGGGCCTAAGGTTTATATTGGGTAAAGTTCAGCTAGTCTCGTCTTAGGTTTCTTCGAAATAGGATCACTTATAGCAATTCTAGGATTGCACAATTGCTGAAGCGTATTGGAAAACCTGTCCTCGTTCACATCATTCAGACCCTCCTTGGTCTTTCGTTTTCCTAGCTTAGCCGTTGGCTGCGTACCCTCCTCAGCATCCTCATCCTTTTCATCTTCATCATCATCCTCTGCTTCTACATCGTCTTCATCGTCGGAGTTGAGGTTGGGAAGGCTCGCCCCCAGTCCCAAAGCCACGTCACTGACACTGGCTTCACCCAGTCCCGTCTCTCGGCTCATCTGCTCCTCGTCCTTGTCGGAGCGAACAGCCTCATAGGCAATATCGCAATAGTACCAAATAAGCTTCTTCTGGTACTTGTCCTTCCTGACAGAAGCTTTGGTTTGGGGATAACAATCGTTGGGGATCCGTGCCTGGTGTGGGTTTTCTTGTTCTCCTTCCGCATGCAGTATTTTCTGATAGCCTTGCGTCTGTCCCTTGGTTGGAGTCAGAGTCACCAATGTACATGTAAGACTGTGCAAATACGTACACACACACACACATGAACAGATACATGCATCCACCCGCTGAAGCATACATACATGCATACATACATGCATACATACATACATACATACATATACATACATACAAACATATACATACATACCCACAAATATACTATGTTCACGTGTGCACATACACATGTATCTTCTATACATGTCAATTAACCATCATGTATGCCCCTTTCCATACACATATGTATATACACATTTGCACACACACACACACACCTATACCTTTACATGCACAACCCATTCCTCCATGCTAGACGAATAATTGCAGCAAAGGAGCGAGGAGAATTTCAGTTCGTCTTTCATCATTTGGTCAGTGTAAAACCCAGATCTCGTCTTGGATTCCTTGGACCTGCTCTGCGTGTATGTGTGCTTCACCTTCTGCGTGAACAGCTCCTGCATGTGTAGGTCGAAGCATGAAAGAAAAGTCTCATGACCCCATGACATGCAACACATCTCCAGTCCTTCTTGCCGTCACACTCCAAAAGAACTTTTCGGAGCTCTCTCCGAGACGAGCCTCCTCGTTTCCACATCTTGTGGACCTGTTCTGGAACTTTGAGGCCACCCTTCCGATCGGGCTTGCAGCAACGTCGCAGCGTGGCTTCGAGCTTAGACAGTGCTTCTTTCGATAAGTTGTCCACGGACACTGCATCCTCAGATGGCAGGATTTGGGCTGGAACAGGAGGTGCAACGGATTCATCATCTTCATCATCATCATCATCATCAGAAGAAAGAGATTCTTTCTCGTCGGCGGTCGGGGTGTCGGTGACCTCCGGTTTGGGCTCCTGGCTTCATATACCATGACAAGTCTGCTGTACTACAGTGGCTTCATGTTCACTAATGCGACCGGACCTTCAGTGGCGTGCCGTAGATATCCTTGTCCTTAGAGAGGATGCCGAGGATTGGAGTTGAACATTGACAGCATGCAAACCAATATCCAAACAACGACTGGTCGATGTTAACACATTAGTGCATGCCGTGCTTCAGCAGGGTGCCAGTCCTCCTCGGCAGAAGAAACCTCGATCATGTTGTGTAGTGCGTACTGCAGCATGTTGTCATCCTCGTTCTCGGAGTCGGACCGAGGTGCTGGAAGAGTCAAGACTTCTGCGGGAGGCTCGGCACAAGCTTCGTCAAAACTTGAAAGCAGGGACTTTCGTGGTGTCGCCTTCTTGGGCGTCTGTTCTGGGGCCTTTAGTGGGGTCCGTCGCTTCAGGGCAGACTTGCGGGTCGAAGCTTGGGGGCTCGACGGGGGCTTGGGGGTCGCAGGTTTGGTGCTCGAAGACGGCACAGGCTTTGGGGTAGTGTTTCGTGCTGGGTGTCGAGGGCTTGGGTGTCGAAGCCTTGGGTGTCGAAGCCTTTGGTGTCGAAGCCTTTAGTGTCGAAGCCTTCTTTGGTGTCCCAGCCTTCGGTGGGACTGTCGTAGCCTGGGGTGTCGAAGCCTTTGGTGTCTTTGACTTACTTGGGGTCCCAGGTTTGCCGCTGAAAGTCTTCGGCGGGGGTGTCGAGGCCTTTGGTGCGGAAGGTGGCTCCGACCCTCCCCAAACATCCTGGGCATCTTCCCCCTTGTCAACCACTCGCTCTAGGCCTGAGGAGGCAGCCCCAGCAGTAGGCCTGGGGCTCTGAAAACGGATCGTTCGGGGGAGGCTTCTCGGGTGTCCCCTTTTCCTGCCCTAGATCATTATCCTCGGCAGCAGTATCAAGCTTTCCTCGTTTCGACTTCTTCTTTCGAAGCCGGGGCTTCTTGCTGGGAGGCTCTTCAGCCTCCTCGAGATCATCAGCTGGCGTTGTCAGCTGCTCCTGCTCACGACGAGCCTCCAGGGACTTCAGAAGTTGTCTTGCATCCTGGAGGCAGCATCAGGGATGAGGTCATGGATGATTGATTGTTTGGGCTACTTAATAGAGATGTAACCCCAGCATAATTATCATGTCCTCGAGTTGCTCTTCGATAGACTTGGGCTCCTCCTTCACAGCCTTTGCTGCATTAGCCTTTGGCTTTTTTCTCGGCATGGTGTAGAGGCCCTGTATTGGGAATTCCATTAAAGTCATGAAAGCTTCCGGTTTGGGCCACCATGTTGCTTTCGGGCTTCGCTTTTCCCATAGGGGTCTCGGGTATACGTGGTTTCGGGTGTCTGAGGGTTTTACAAGCTGTGGTGGAAGTACAGGATCACTTGTAGAAGTTGTAAGCAATATATAAATCCTAATATCCCCGAGGCGAAACCCAAACCCGAAGCTGAGTCATGCTGCTCACACTGTGGTGGGTGCTTAAGGTGGGTGCTTAAGCAAGGGCTAAAATACGGTTCTATATATACACATATTAATTCTTAATGTTATAAAACCTGCTTAATAGACCTATCTACCTGTATATATATATATATATATATATATATATATATCAAGTCATATCTGGATCCATCTACATGCACAAATATATGCGAGTATGTATATATATATATATATATGTATGTATGTATATATATACATATATACATATATATATATACATATATATATATATATATATACATATATAGTTATTCCATACGTCTATATATATATATATATATATATACATATATATATATATATATATATATATACAGATACTCGCATATATTTGTGCATGTAAATGGATCCAGATATGAACTACACATATAAGCTCAGGTCCCTGACCCTTTTAGGGTTTACACTTTCTAGGGCATTCTAGGGTTACCGGGTCCTTGGAAAACCAGGCACCTGGTCTCCACCATTTCTGGAACGTGCCCTTCTGGAACATTCTGCAATAGATCCTGGCGACTGCATTTATTCGCCTCGGATCCATGCAAAGAGAAGCTCTGCAGCAATGGTTCTAGTAAGATCTATCGATTGCAATCAAGCGACTTTATCTTGTAGACGTAGACGGAAGATTTCTTCGCCAGACGAGCAGGATGAAATACCAAAATAGCTCGGGAGTTCGAACGCAGCCGGTGTTTCCTTAAGTGCATTCGCCCCTGGATCCAGAAATTGACCCGAAACACTCTGGCTCGGGAGGCCAACTGCACCCACCGTGGATGCTGCTGCAGGAGCCCCGATGAGGGGAGCTCGGCCGTCCACGTGAATCCCAAAGCCTGTGCCAGGAATAATGCCAGGGCTAGCCTCGGATAAGGATTCTTCAGGCAAAAGTATAGAATGATCGTAATAGTGCTGAGTTGCTTGTCGGCCATTTCATATCCGTCAATAGATCTTGCGTGGATAATGCTGCCCGGCTTGAGCTTCAGGATAACAGCCAACATAAACCTCAGGTGGCGGCACAAACCTACTATTGTAACACTGCAATCGGACTCTCGAACTCCATGCTAGCCGTGACACATAAAGTTCACCGAGTCTGGCCCCCATCGAGCCGAAGCCACTGCTAAACCCTTGGCCTTCATCCTGGTGCTCACCATTGTATGGTGAACAAAGAATTCCAGAGCATCAAACTCCTGCACGGGGCCAAAGAAGCACTGCTACAGAAGACAATCAGCCAAACACTCCGAATGTGTTCACACATCAACCGGGCCCACCCCACCTGAGAAAAATCAAGGTCCATGTTGCTGACAATGTTGACGATCACCATCAGTATCTCAGCCAACAGGGGTGAAACCGAGCTTATACAAGAACAACTGTTAGGCTAAGCCACACATAGAAACTTACGACATGTATGACTAGATATACAAACTAGGGGCATATGGTGCTCCATTGTCTCGCAGGATCTGAAGAATCGATACTCGCCGATCATCAGCAAGGACCATGGCGATCAGCGGCTAGGCTCTCCGATGGTCACAAGGTTGAAGACAACACACACGAGTCCATGCGTGCAACCTGCTTGCTGTCACTGTTTGCTTTCATCCCTGAGACCTTCTTGTTCAGTAACAATGTCAGATTTCTAAGACCGAGCCCAAACCTCGTAAACCCACTGTGGAAATGCAGGCACCGTAGCTGTAACGAGTTCTACACGATTGGAAAGGCAAGCCTGAAGCTTTACAGCACCGGCAACAACCCCAAGCCCCATAATAGCCTTCACTGCACCGTGAAGTACAATACACGAAATTTATAAACGATAACAAGCCTCAAACCCTATAACCCAGACCTGAACTATATAAGCCGAGTCAACTTTCCTATGTCATAGCAATTTTAGGGCAGGACCCAAAACCTACGCAAACCTAAACTCTAGATTAAGGTACATGCCACCCACAAACCCATCCGGTGGGGCACGTTTCGGCTTCCCCTTGAGGAACTTCACCATGTAGCCCAGCCTGCCACGGGCAAGTCGAGCTAGCTTTGTTACTGCTTGCAGATGCTCAGACAACAAACAAAAGGGCTGCAAGCATCGGCGTTCTTTTGCGGACAGTCTGCCCAATGATCAGCACTGGCAGCTCGGCCACAACAGCAACACCCATCGTATCTTCTAAATCTCGAGATCAAATGAAGCCATGCGAGTAGCACCGTTCTGCGTGGAGTTGCATCGGAGTTTCTGAAGGGCTATAGGGCTTATAAGTCTTAGGGCTTATACACAGGGTTCTAAAAAGTCGTATGATATAGTGTTGTAGACTATAGATCTTGTTTGAATATAGTTTGAAAAGAATCGTTAGGCCTAGGTTCCACTCCAAGCTAGACAGGGTTGCAAGCATCCAATGCAGAGTCTATGGTGCCATCGCATAAGCAAGCCCCAGGCTAGACCAGAAGTGGCGGCACGTGCTCCGGCAGCTTACTGTGCGGAGCTCAACTGAAATCGCATCGGGTGACGAGTGAGAGCTGGAAGCCCATATCATTGATTTTCTACATTGCACAAACTCATACCCGGTGCGGACCCAGAGATCTGTGCTTCGGCTGTGACAACAACCAAAACACTCCCTTACAGAAGCTATTGCACATGTAGTCATGTAGTCCAAAGTGAACCACTGAAAGAAGCAAGCACAGTTCTCAAACAGTTGCAGGTCTGGGTTTGCGGGGCTTGTAGTTGGGATCTCGGCACTTCGAGCAGCCCCCGGCTCGCCAACGGCATTTGGGACAGCCGAAAACCTTGTCCGTAGCAGCATCGTTTGCAACTGGACCGCCTGCATCCTTCTTATTCTTCTTAGAAGTTCCTTTGGCCTTGGCCTTGGCATCCGGTTTGTTGTTCTTCGGCAGCACCGAAGACTCAGCAGCAGGAGCCTTACCCTTCTTAGCAGGTTTAGCTGCCTTCTTTGGCTCGGGCTTCTCCTTGAGGTGTTTCTTAATCACAGTTTTGCTGGATTTGCACGTGCCCTTGCCGTTGCCCTTGCTCTTCTTTGTTGCACCCTTTCCTTTACCCTTTCCCTTGGCCGCTGCAATAGCCGCCTTCTTCGCACTTCTCATCGACCTCTGCATCTGCGGATCAACAAGATCAGCCTCCTTCGGGCCATTCTTGTCATTGTCCTATAACAGGGATGCTGCTGATTTATACAGAAACTGAAGCATCATCTATGAAGTGATTTGGATACTTTCACCAAACAAGCTCCTGCGATGTCAAGCTCTCTCGACTGCCACTCGGCGTGCTTTTCAAGGTGCTCGCGGGAGATGGAAGATCCAGGATGTTGAGAGGCTGGGTTTCCAACTGCACAGGGATAAATTAAGTAACAGCGACACCATTTAAGGCATGAAGTGCTCATTCGGACTATAAGACTTATACAGCCGTGCAGAATATGATGCCTGGGACGGATCGCAGGTGCTTTGCGTTGATCGGCTCTTCTTGGACAAGCCTTAAATCATGAAAGCAAACATTTATTGAATTCTGAGAAATACAACAAACGGGGAGGAGTAGGATTAGACAGGGTTATATTATATAGGCTTATATTAGGGTCGTTATATAGGCTTAACCTAGACGGTTGAAGAAGGAGAACCCGTAATATCATCCAAGAGGCTGGAAGCATCAGAAGTCGATGGGGATGTCGATGGACTCTTTCGTTTCCCATCATTCGGCCTTATGTTGTCAGCTGCAAGCAGACGGGTCAAACATCAACAGCAGTAAGCTTCATCCAGGTGCCGGTGATTGTTTCGGAAACATGACTTTGTAAGGTTCGGGCTGGAGAAGCTTCAGCTCAGAAATCTGAGCAAGAACTTTCTTAAGCTCTTTCTTTTCCTTCGTTTCCGAAGAGCCCACAAAAAGCACTTCCTCCTCAGCGGCTGCTGTCTTCGCTTGAAGTCGCCTTACTGGTGTCACGAGGGCCTCGACGGGCTTCAACTTCTTAAGCTGGGGAGGCTTTTCAGGCTTTTCAGTCTTTTCCTCCACTTCTACACACTCATCATCCTCCAGCTCTGCTTCCTCCTCTCCTTCCTCTCCTTCCTCTCCTTCCTCTCCTTCCTTTCCTTCCTCGCATACCTCCTCCTCCTCCTGCTCCTCGTCTGCTCGCTCTCCCTCTTCTGCCTTCTGTCTCTCATAGATCTGCTTGACACAACCTTTCAGCTTTCGGGCAGGAGTGGGCAGCGTATTCCGGAGTTCCCGGATGAGCTCGAACAGCTTCTGGACTGCCTCGCCCTTGGTCACATGCACTTCATGTTCACACAACTTCCGGAATCCGAAAAGACATTGTGTCATGCTGTGTCATGCAGGCTCTCAGCATATTAATGGCAAGTGTCGGCAGGTGTTTGCCCTCGCTTGTGGCAATCAGCTTCACGTCTCAGGGCATAGGAGTACAACTTCCGAAGGCCCCAGCTGTCCTTGTAGATGCGGGAGGGAGTCACATCCCACCCCTGGTTCTCATAGAACTGCTCTACCTCGGGTCATCGCAGAATGAAAGCAAACACAAAGTCATCATATGTGCGGGACTCAAACACCAATACTGTGATCGTTCAATGTAATGCCAGCAAGTTGCAGCCTTTTGAAGCAAATCGATCGAGACCAAAGTAAGCTGCTGCAGGTGCTCAACCATAAGTCGCACCATCTGACAGTTAAATGTCAAAGCCTGTGCACCCGGCTCACACTCCCTCTCTTCTTCCTCCTCCCAGCGTAGCCACGGCATGCCCTTGGCTTGCCGGCTCTTGCTAAGCTTCAGGTTCTGCCAAGCTTTCGTAAGCTTGGCAAAGCGAGCAGCCATTGCTGCTAAGGCAACCCACGAACTACAAACCAGAGCCCTGAGTCTCGACCCAAACGAATGTTCACGACAGCGATGCTTTTGATGCTCATGCTCAAGGATGCACCCAGCAAGCACGAGCAGACCAAACATTCGGAATCGCGTGGCTAGGAGTCCTGAGGATGTATGGGGAGTGTAGAATTATTTAGGGTAGCAACATAAACTGAGTTAGCAGCACCCGAAAGGAAAGATGATGGCCTCCAGCATCATGCAGCTCCATGACCCATCCAGCTCGTCCGACCTGTTTGGGTGCTTGGCTTGCGGCAGCTTCAAGGTCTTTCGGGCTGGGCTTTAGGTTCGGTTTCCCCTGCCTCCAGCGTGCATTCAAAGCCAGGGCGTGATGTCGATGAGGTCGAAGGGTCCTGGGGATTGTTATTTGGAGGTTTGCTGGGTCTTGGGGCCAAATAGAATTGGGCCAACTCTAAAGTCTTATGATCGGCTCATGCCAAGGCATTTTACAGACAAGCCCACGAACCTTTTAATTTATGCCATCGTGCAACCCATTCAGAAACCCAAGACTTCAGTAACGACGGAATCAAAACCCTATATAGCTTTTCGATCCCTGATTGTCACCCTGGCCCCGGCACTCCTGCATCCACGAATCTTCGCCAGGCGAAACACGATGCGACATTTCCGGCTGCGGAAAATCTCGAAAGCTTGGGGTGTTGCAGGGCTTTGAGGGATATAGGGCTTTGTGGGTGTACAGGGTCTTATATTATGGGTCTCTCTTATCAGGAGCTTTAAGCTCTGACGTGTGGGTTTTCCAGGTTGGATGGATCGCCCGGGCTTTATCGAAAGCTTGCTACTTGACCATGTGTATTGACATATACCAGAAAGGCACATGTACGGGCAAATTAAGCGACTGAAGGTAAGTATTTGTAAAAGTAGCTACCATATATGGATGATAAACTATCGCAACCTTTCAGAAAAGAGGCTTTCGAGCCTGCAGTTGCAGGAACTTCCCGTGGTGGCCTAAATTATTGCGACTGCGAGTCATGGCATCAGTTGCAAGTTTTGTAGGCAACTTTAGCGCTCCAGGTATATGGTGATTCGGAATCGCCAAATGAGCGGGGTTGTTTAAGACGTAACATGAACCGTTATCGCCAAATGAGGGTGCGCGTTTATCATGTATGTTGAACCGTTATCGCCAATTAAGGGTGGTGTGTTTAAGCTATAGGCTGACCCGGGATTACCAAATAAGGGGGGGGTGCTTACCGCTTGCAAGTGCGTTTGCAAATGGGAGGGGCTGCGCCCCCCCGCAACCCCCCCGGCTTTCTTCAGCCCCGTAGTGAACTTGCTTTAGCGAACGTCGTGCCAGCAAGAACGCTTTCTGGCCATCATTGGCGATTGGTCGTAGCAAGTCAACCGCCTAACATATATGAGACGTTCCACAGCCCGTCCGAGGGGCCCAACCCCCTCCCCCTGCTTTATTTTTGGGCCGCGGTGAATGGTTTTCGCCGAATGAGAGGGTCTTGTTATCGCCGAACGCGGGCGCGTGTTAAAGATATCTGGTGAACCGGAATCGCCGAATGAGGGAGCGTGTTGAAGATATGATGAGCCGTTATCACCAAAAGTTGGGCCGTGAACGGTCATTGTCGACTGAGGGGCCGTATCAAAGATATATGGTGAACCGGAAAGGGGTGTGTCTAAGATTTTTTGCATAATCTATGGTGAACCGGAATCGACAAATGAGGGCGCTTGCTTAAGATGTGATGAACCGCCGGTCCTCTTGCAAATGCGTTTGCAAGTGGGGGGGGGCTGTGCCGCCCCCCAGACCACCCCCCCGCTTTCTCAAACCCTGTTTTTCTTTAGCGAACTTCGTACCATCAACAACGCTATGGCCATTTGCGATGGTCTGTTGAATTCTGTACATAGGAACGCCCCACACCTTTGGTGAGCCCAGGCTACGGTATAGTATTGTATAGCTGTATACTATGTGACCGATGCAGCGCCTTTGGTTCAAGAGTAAAAGCGTGACCGCTCAGGGTTTTACAGTTTAACTTGGTAGCGGAGCAAGGAAGCCTGAAGATCCAGGAAACCTGTGGGCCGAAGGAAACCGGATTGGAACCGGAAGAAGTACACGAGGATACCTGGAAACTGGACAGTAAATCTTGGAATTCGCCATGAAGGTGATCATGGAGAAGAGGTACCAGGACCTCTTGCTATTTGTGGTTGGATTCTGTATGAGTATCACGCTGAGCCAAGGAAGCATTCAGGGAACAAGTTGTTTGCGGATGAACATGTCTCACCTTGTTATTCGACCTCAGCCGTTTACCCTCGAAGAGGAAATTTCGGATTGTGTATGGGATCAATTGTATCCCCGAGTATGGGAGAACGATCGGAAGAAGGATCTCTTGTCCCAGCGGCAGGAACTATGGAACTCAAAGACAGTGAGATCTTCAAGGATGAACCTCACCAGAAAGTATCTCGGGTTACGGAACACGAACCGTTGCCGAGAGTGGCAAGGCCTGTACATGAAGATGTCATGGTGGACCGGACTGCGGAGTTGGAAGAAATGCGGCAAAGTGCAGAAGAGAGGCGAGCTACCTTGGTGGAGCAAGCTAACCTCCTGCAGACGCCAGGAAGGAAAGCTGAAAGTACTCCAGCAAAGACTCCAGGTACAACTGGAGGAAAGTCGCGAGAAGAAAAGAAGAAGGAGAAGAAGACTGCCAAGAAAGAAGCCAAGCAAAGCCGTAAGGCCGAGAAGGCTAGGAAGAAACAGGAAGAAGAAGCCACCAGTCCTCAAGGTGTTCGACGTAAGTTGGATGAAGCTATGGAAGTGGCAGGATCGATTGAGAACGTCATGTTGCTTGAGAAAGAGTATAAGAGATTCAGACTTGACGGAAAGTATCAACCCCCCTTCCTCAGTATCTACAGCCGGATGTTGCAGAACAATCAGAAATTCAAGCCCAGATCTTTCTATGATCCCCCAGGAAAGGATCAAGAGACAGAACAACTTGAAGCTCTTAAGGAGGAAGAAGAGAAGAAGTCCGAGGCAGAGTCTCGGAAGAGAAAATTGGCCGAGCTGGAGGAGCAAAAGCGGATCTTGGAAGCTGAGACAAAGGAGAAGCAGCAAGCACTGGAGGAAGAAACCAAACATCTTCGCGCAGTGGAAGAATCGGAGCGTATGGCTAAAGCACTCCAGGAAGCTAACAAGCCGCCAGCCAAGATCACGGTACCTGAAGCAGCACTGGATTCGGCGGAAGAATGGTACCGCAACAAAGCCCTTGAAGTCGTGGGCAAGCTACGAGCTCGTAAAGGCGAGCAAACGGAGAACGCTCGTAAGGCCGAGGAAAGTTGGCTTCAAGCTTGCAGGAATGTGGAGAAGGCTCAAAGTGGATTTATTGTGGCATCGGAAAGGCTGCAAAGTGCTATGGGACAAGCCCTTAACATTGCAGTACGCCACGGAGAAGAAAAGGGTCTACTTCAGATCTTGCAATCCATCCACGATGGAACCACGCAGGCACCAGAGCCAGCTGAACCCGCTGTTAAAGCGATGCCAAAGAAAATGCCCAAGTTGGGAACGGAGACTCAGGCTGGACAGGAAAAAGAGAAGAAGCTTCCAGAGCAGAGAAGGTCTGGAAAAGGGAAGAAGCAACCGCCTGAGGAAACCCCAGGATGGGAGTGGACAGAAAGAATTTATGAAGAAGACATCGACGAGAATCGCCCTCTACGAAGCGGAGAAGAGTATTTACCTGGGTCCGAACCTTTTAGTCCTACTTGGACAAAGGAGTTGGTACAAATCCTTTCTGGATTGGCTATGCGCGGGATTGGAGAGAAAGACGGAGAGTATCAGCCCCTATGGGAGTTCCCTTGGCAGATCAAGTCGTATGAAGACTATGATGCAATCCAAGCCCAGCTGGAACCGTACAGCGTACGCCTCATTCCGTCTCGCCGCGAGTGTAAAGGTGCTGGACGCTTCGCGGAGGTATGGAGTATGCACCCAGCCGGAAAGGGTCGTTTGGACATCGAGCCAACGGAGACTACCCGGCGCCGTACTGTGTACGGGAGCTTACCTCCAGGAAAAAGCTTGTGCTCGCTATGCTGGCATGGAGGACATTGGAAGAAGGAGTGCAAGTACCGCCAGCTATGCTTTTGCCTGTACGAGCCGATGCTCACGATACTGGATCGCGGAAACAAGACGAGGCGACTGTATCCGATTCGAGGAATCACTCGTCCCGGATTCCAAGGAGATACTACGAATCCGTACAAAAGGTTTCTCCCGATGCTCGCTCTTTGCGACTTTGGGAGTATGTCCAGGGAAGTCTCGGAGAGTAACAAGCGATACTGGAAGCAGGCAAAGGATGAAGGAGATTTTCCAATTCTGTATCGAGAAGAGCAGGCCAGCCGGAAGAAGGAAGCAAGCCAGTCAGCTACAGCAAAGAAGAAGACCAAGCCAGAGAAGCCCAGCATCTGGACAGCCAAGGAGGATGAAAAGAAGGTGGTGGTTTTGGACGAGCCTAGCCCGGAAGCACCAAGCCGAGAGGAGCTTCGGCAGAAGTACGAAGAGCACCACAAGGCCAAGCTACGCAAAACGTTGGAGTCGCGTGAAGCAAAGAAAATCTTGGATGCCCCGGAAGCGGATGCAGGAAAAGATCAAGAAGTTCCAAAGGAAGCCGTTCCGGAAGAACCTGAAGTACCAGAAGCACCCGCAGTGCCAGAAAAGACGCCTGTCAGGGACACCATGGACGAAGCAGGCAGTGACAGTAAGATGTCGGATGAAGCCAGCGAAAGTGAATCCCCTGTGGAGAATTCGGAGTCGTCGGAAATCGACGAACCAAAACGCCGTAAGACCGCTAAAGAAAAGCAGCAGGAAGAAGCTGGAAGAAGTGAGCCAGCAGAGCAGATCGATAAGAATGATCTGTGAGGCGCTTGAGCAACTCGCTGCCCAGTGTACGAAGTTGCGCGCAGCAAACGCTGTGCCTGTACTGATAGCACTTCTGCTCATCTGGAGTTGCGGAAGA